TGTGAAAGGATTTCTTGTGCTAAATCATTTGGATAAGCTTTTATGATCCTAAAACTTTATTTCTCTTTAATTCTTTATGGATTTTAATATCAAAACTTGAGTTTTTGATTGGCAAATGACAAAGTTTTTTTAAAAACTCAAGTTCTAAACTAAAATGGAGATTGTGAACTCATTTTATGTGCGTTTTTTCAAAATGATTATCACCAATAAGTTCCAAATGCCTTGAGTAATGATTTCAAGTAAAGAATTTTGGATTTAAACTTCATTTTCGGAATTTGGTTTTGTTGAGTGACCCATTTTTCAAAGTTTTGAATTGGGTATTGTTATTTCCGAAATTTTTTGTGAATACTTGATTGATATAGATTGTGTGACTTTGGACATTGGTCACAAGGGAAAGACTCAAGTCTTGGAGTGACTAGTTGGTTGACTTGAGACAAGTGATCTCCTAAACCTAGTAATTTAGTAAAATTTGTGTATTGCCTTCATTGTGTGTTGGGAGTAATGAGAATGAGGTGAGGATTAATTATCCACTTGATAAATCTTAATGAATAAAAAGGGGTTGAAATGAAAAGAATATGTATTGATCATAATGCTTGTGAATTGCCTTGTGATGACCCTTAGTTGATTGATTAATGAAATGCTTGACAGCATGAATGTGGACTTGAATTGCTTGATTTCTTGTCTCTTCTTTATGGTGTAAACTTGCTTATGTGCATTGATTGTCGTACATCGTGATGAGATTTGTGACATAAAGCCGATGGAAAATGGTTCTGGCTAATGAGATGATATAAAGTCAATGGGAAATAGTTCAGGCTAGTGAAATGATATAAAGCTGATGGGAAATGGTTCCGGATAGTGAAATGATATAAAGTCATGGTAAGCTTTACCTATTGGGATTATATTTAAAGTCCTCTGTTATAACAATGAGAGGCATAAACATATTTGGTTTATAAAAGTATGTGCCAAGATATTTTCTAACCCTATACCAAATTGGTTTTTAAACTGGTGGTCATACCACGGGTCAACCATAAAAATATTGCCCGAACCATTCTCAAGTTATACAAAGAATGGGTCAAGATTTTCCCAGATCTCAACAAGTTATATCATCAAGAACATATTTGTTATTTTCAACAAATTGAACAAATATACTTTTTTATAGAATTCTCTGTTTCATGGATTCATAAATGGGTTCCGGAAGTAGATTTCACTGAGGAACAAATCCCTTGCCTATACAAAACTTATTATAATAATTTTTGGGATAAGTTGATGAAGAAAGATCCTCAAACAAAGTCTTTATACGGATAAGAACTGTTGGATCTAATAACAAAAATCATACACGATTATAAATCGATTCCTAATAAAGGAATTATGACTGATGACTCAACCTCCGTAAAACATATGGCTAGAAAAATTTCTAATCATGATGAATGAGAACAAAATGAAATGATTATGAAGTATCTAGAAGAAGTAAAGAAAAAGATTCTTCTAAATATAAGTCATTACGCAAAATCAGATTCATCAATGCGTAGGGAAACAAGTGAAGATATGCACGAAGCACAACCATATGAAGAAGAAGCACCAACGGATGCACTGAAGAAAGCCGAAGATTTTTTGGCAAAATTAAAGGACAAGATGTAAAAAGAAGTGTAAAGCTTATCCGCGTCGATAGCAGGCCCGCACTACTGTAGCAACACTGTTCACCTACAGTAAATACATTGTTCACCTACAGTAGATACACTGTTCACCTACAGTAGATACACTATTACCAGGACCCAGATAGGGGCCCAGTATCCTGTACAAAGATGCTTTCTTTTTTCTATAAATAAGTTTGTTTTTCTTTAATTTTAGAAACCACCTCTTCTTGTTTACATTTCTCTCTCTCTTGTAAAACCTTCTAAGTATTGTAAGCTTGCCGGATTTTGGCCGGAGCAATAAAGAGTGGTGTTTACTATAAGGTACTTCCTTTTAGTTTTAGTTTTATCTTTTTATCTTTGAGTTAAGTCGTGACTATGTCCGGCTAAAAAATTATATCTATGCCAGATAACTAACTTCTCTTTTATATAAACCATGAACGGATCTAAGATTTATTTAAATATAGAAGAATTTTAGTATGGCTTCTCGACTTGGTTCTGAGATTGAGGTACAGTCGGATCTAGTACTACTTTTATTGGCTTTGTCTTTGTGACTCTGTCTGATGAGCCGTGATTTTTAGCCCGAAAAAAAAAGTTTGATAAGTAGGGCGCCTGATACCCGGTTAGAACTATCAGACACATGGGCTCAATAAAAGTATGTGTTAGCTTCTTGACAGACCCTTTGCTTGGGTAAAATAAATAAACCATACAGCTGAGAAACTATGTTAAAATTCTTGTGTATTTCGATTCTTATGTAGTTGGACTACCTCTAAGGATATTGACTTGCTTGATCTATGACTATGCGGACCACCGCCAGGTCAGTGATCCTGTATCGTTAATAATAATAATAATAATAATAATAATAATAATAATAATAATAATAATAATAATAATAATAATAAACTAGAGTGTATTTTCCTTAGTGGAGGAAACTCGTTTTTCCTCGGCCAACAAACTCCATACCATTATTATTATTATTTTTCCTCGACCAACAAATGCCATACCATTATTATTATTATTAATATTGTTATTGCTGCTACTGGTACTACTGCTACTGCTCCTACTGCTACTGCTAATACTACTAGTACTACTGTTGCCGCCGCTGCTGCCGTCGCCGCCACCGCTGCTACTGCTACTACCACTGCTATTACTACTACTACTCCTATTACTACTCCTACTGCTATTACTGCTACTGCTACTATTGCTACTTCTATTGCAACTACTGCTACTGTTAATACTGCTACTTTTATTGCAACTCCTGCTACTGCTACTGCTACTACTGCTGCTATTGCTACTGCTACTCCTACTACTACTATTGCTGCTGCTTCTGCTACTGCATCTGCCATTGCTACTGCTTCTGCTACTGCTACTGTTACTGTTGCTGTTGTTGCTTCTGCTTCTGCGTCTGCCACTGCGACTGCTTCTGCTACTGCTACTATTGCTGCTGCTACTCCTACTGCTAATAATACTGCTACTACTACTACTGCTGCTATTGCTACTGCTACTGCTACTGCTACTAGTAATTATTAGTATTACTATTGATACTATTATTACTATATTATTATTACTATTATTAGTATTACAATTGATACTATTATTACTATATTATTATTACTATTATTAGTGTTACTATATTATTATTACTATTATTAGTGTTACAGCGGGATGAGGGCCGTTGTGGCGGGCTCGATGCGACTTAAGATCGTTAATAAACCCCTAAACGACCTTATTATGCACTTTTCGATTATTATTATTATTACTATTTTATTATTATTATTATTATTATTATTATTATTATTATTATTACTATTATTATTATTATTACTATTACTATTATTATTATTACTATTATTATTTTTATTAGTATTACTATTACTAATATTATTATTACTATTATTATTTTTATTAGTATTACTATTACTATTACTATTATTATTACTATTATTATTATTATTACTATTTTTTAATTATTATTATTATTATTATTATGATTATTATCATTATTATGAATTTTTAAGTGATAAATGGAACCATTTTAAAACATGGCTTTTTGACTTTTATAGTGCTGATGATTTAAATAATAACTTTCGAGAGTTTTATGAAACTTGTGTTTTACATAATCAAATTATGTATTTTGTGGAGTTTTATGAAACTTGTGCTTTACATAATCAAATTATGTATTTTGTGTCTTGATTTATAACCACTTATCTTCCTTTATTCATCAAAGTTCTAGAACAATCTTATAAAGATGAATCTGGTAATATTATTAAGGATGTTTATCCTCCTCAGTCATCTTTTATTTTACCTTATAATACTGGTATCACTTTTACTGCCTTTCAAAAAATTGTTGAAGAAGATGTTGCGGCAGTCAGCATCAATGAAATTAATAACTTGATTTCTCAAAATAATTATTTGGGACTTTATGTTAAAGTTTTGGGTGAACATATTGGTTCGCTTGATAAAAAATTGGATGAATTAACTACTTTGATTATTCAAATAAAAAATCATTTAAAAGCTTCTGATAAAGCTTCGACTTCTAAAATTAATTCTGAAGCTCTTACTATGTCTACCTCTGTGCAGAGTCCCACTGAGATTAAGGATTTTAAATTCAAATCGATGTATGATTTCGAAGAACTTCTTGATAAAAAGTTTTTGGATTTTAAAGCGAACCCTATAGATTTGTCTGAAAATTTGCGGATAAAATGGAAAACACTTTTGATTTTTGAAAATCATGTTTCTTTAGAATTTAATAAACTTCGCAGTTATCCCAAGAAGAATAGTGGTAATCCTAAGTTTGCTCATAAACCTAGCATGCAAACTTATTATTATTCCAGGCCAACTCCTCAGGATGTGCTTACAGAGGAACGCGATTGGAATTAGACCAATACCTCTTATAGTGGTTCTGAAATTTATGAGTGGAATCTAGATGGGTTGACTGATAGACAGCTAACTATTCTCGTTCATAGAATGCTTATGTATGCAACTATTTGTAAAAATGTTAAAAACACAGATAGAAATATATGCAAAATGATTATTACAGGTTTTACTGGCCAACTCAGAGGTTGGTAGGATAATTATATGAGCCTTGAGCAAAAGGCTGCTGTAATTAATGCTACTTCGAGTAGTGAAGGTTTTGATAACTTGGGCATGCCTCTAGTTGCTAATAGAGAAGACGTTTATACTCTAGTCTTAACCATCCTAGAACATTTTAATGGTAGATTCACCAATCAGTACAAGACTGTTCGTACCCTGTTGAATGGTCTACGATGTAGAACCTTGGGAGAATTTAGATGGTATAAAGATAATTATATGAGTAGGGTGATGGAACTACCCGAAACAGTTATGAGCATTGGAAAGCTAATTTTATAGATGGCCTTCCCCCCCTTATTTGCCAAGCGTGTTAAAAGGATTCTGAGAAATGCTCTTGGAGAAATCACGTATAAAGATTATACTTATGGTAAGCTGATAGGAGTTTGTACTCAGGAAGGTATAAACTTGTGCAATGAATTGAAACTCTCCAGATAGCTTAAGATTGACAAGCTCAAAGAAAGATCTCAGATGTGAGACTTTTGTACCCAGTTAGATTTACCTGATGCTCCGGCTAATAGCAGGAGAAAACATAGAGATTCTAGAGACTCCAATCCTGATAGACCTCATAGAAAGAAGAGATCTAGATATAGATCTAAAGAAGAGTGGGGCGCTAGAAAAGCCTTTCGCAAGGCTAATAGATTTATCAAGACTAGATCTAAGCGTGAGCTCGCCAAGATTAAGTGTTATAAGTGTGATAATTTCGGTCATATAGCACCTAATTGTAAGCTTGAAAATTTGAAGATCTTAGAATTAGATAAGGATATTCATGATAAGGTTTATAGTTTCTTAAATACTTCTGGTTCTGAATTCGATTATGATTCTGACTCAGGCTCCGAAGAAGAGATTGATTTACCTGAATTATCTGATAATAATCAGCCTGATAATAATCAACATGATAATATGAATACTTGCAATACTTGCCAGGGTGATACTTGCTTATGTGAAAATGATGAGTTTTTTTTATAAACTGCAATCTCAATTTGAAGATTTAAATCTAAATACTATTACTTTTGATAATGTGATAGAACTTCTGAAAGAAGTTACTGATAATAATCTTCGTAAAAAAATTATTCAGTTAGATGTTAATAATAGTGCTAGTTCTAGTTCAAAAAATTCTGAAAAACAAAAGAATGATTTTGAATTCGAATACTCTGCACCTTATTCGTTGTCTGAAATTAATAATAGACTTTAAAAACAAACTATTTCTACAAGAGATTCTTCTTTTGATGATTTGAAAAAAGAAGTTGAAAATTTGAAAAATGAGATTAAATCTCTTAAACAAAATCAAATGATTTGTGATCATCGTCTTACTCAGATTGAAGCTGTTAATAACAAAGGTAAAAACATTGCTGAAGATAATACTCTTGCAAAACCTTTTAATCTTGATCCTAAACAAGGTATGTTTTTAGGAATGATGCAAATTGTTACTGCTCATAACTGGTATGTTAATTGCACCATTTTGATTGATAATAGTTTTTCAATAACGAATATTGTTATGATTGATAGTGGAGCGGATGTTAGTTGCATTCAAGAAGGTCTTGTGCCAATTAAATATTTTGAAAAAACTACTCATATGGTCAAATCTGCTTCTGGTTATGCTTTAGATATAAAGTATAAATTGGCTAATACTCACATTTTTCAAAATAAAGTGTGCATTCCACATTTCTTTTTCTTGGTAAAAAATCAGTTATACCCTCCAATTATACTTGGAATCCCCTTTATAAATGCTATTTATCGTTTTACTAGCATAAATGCTAAAGGTTTTTCTGCTACTTATGAAGACAGGGATATTAGTTATACTTTCATCACTAACCCTATTTCTCGTGATATTATGAAACAAAAGCATATTGATTCTCTGCAACTTGAATTGTTTAGCATGAATATATTTGATACTTTGAAATCTACCAAAGTACAGGAAAAAATTAAATTAATTTCTGAACAAATTGTTGTTGATATTTGTGTTGATCATCCTAGTGCTTTTGGGAATCGGAAAAAGCATATAGTTACTTTTTCATATGAAGATGATTTCTCTAAGAATGACATTCCTACTAAATCTCGTCCTTGTCAAATGAACGCCGAATTAGTTGAATTTTGCAAAAAGGAGATTGATAATTTGTTACAAAAGGGGTTGATAAAACCTTCAAAATCACCTTGGTCTTGTACTGCATTTTATGTTAACAATGCGGCTGAAAAAGAACGAGGTGTTCAGATCCAAATATTTAAAGAGCATACTTATAAAACTGCTTTTAATGTCCCGTTTGGACAATATAAATGAAATGTAATGCCATTTGGTTTGAGAAATGCTCCTTCTGAATTTCAAAAAATTATGAATGATATTTTCAACCCATTTTTGGATTTCATCATTGTTTATATTGATGATATTTTTCAAAACATTTGAAACACATATCAAGCATCTAGATATTTTCAAGAAAATCGTTATACAAAATGGTTTGGTAATTTCTAAACCAAAAATGAGTTTATTTCAAACTAATGTTCGATTTCTTGGACATCTTATTTGTCAGGGAAAAGTCACCTCGATACAAAGATCAATTGACTTTGCATCAAAATTTCCTGATGTTATTACCGACAAGACTCAATTGCAAAGATTTTTGGGAAGTTTAAATTACATCTCCCCCTTTTATAAAAATTTATCTTGTGATTTGGCCCCTCTTTACGATAGGCTAAAAAAGAATCATAAATCACCTTGGACTGATAGTCATACAATTTTGGTAAAAAATATTAAGTTGCGTGTCCAATCTTTACCTTGTTTAACTCTTGCTAATCCTGCCTGACAAAAGATTATTGAGACGGATGCGTCTAACATTGGTTATGGTGGAATTTTGAAACAAATTAATTCCAATGACAAACAGGAATATTTGATTAGATTTAATTCTGGGAAATGGAGCGAAGCCTAGAAAAAATATGCCACGGTGACCTATAAAATGCTAACCATCGTTAAATGTGTGTTAAAATTTCAAGATGATTTATATAATCAGAAGTTTTTGATAAAAAATGATACGCAATCTGTGAAATATATGTTTAATAAAGATTTTAATTATGATGCGTCAAAATTAATTTTTGCTAGATGGCAAGCCCAGTTAGCTCCTTTTAATTTTGAAATTCATTATAAAAAAGGAAGTGATAACTTTCTCCCGGATTTCTTATCCAGAGAATATTGTCTTCGTCATGAGTTTTCTTTCTCCCTTCTTTACTGAAAAAACTCTTATTACTATATTAAAAATAATTCCTCTTAATCGAGATGTACAAGAGATAATTTTATGGAAAATTATCGATTGAATGGTGATACACAGATCGAAGAGATCTGTCGATTTTGACGACGAAAATTATTATTACAATAACTACGGTGACGCATTTGAATAAAACAAAATGTTTTGTTTGTAGGATGGACTCTCCTTGGATAACCAAGGGTCGAGGTAGAGATAATAACCCCCGAGGAAGGGGAAGATCTTCCCAGGATCATCATCAAGATCGTCATACAGATGCTCTTCTAATTCTCCAATTCTGCAAAAATATGGAAAGAATTTGATAAATGCCAAAGTCACTCAAAGTGCAACATCAACATCAATACATCTGGATGATATTCCAGAAAATAGATCGTTATACGCACAACTACAATCATATTTATCTGAGAAGCAAACTGATACTTTTTCCTCTATCGCCATAGAAGAAGTTGATGATATCAACTCTTTTGAAAAGGTATCAAAGAAAGAAATAACATTTCTTTTAGAAAACTCTGAAATTCAGAGAAAGGAAGAACCCTGGAAGATATTCCAGCGATACTTGATTAACGAATTATATTTCCTGGCTGAGTCATATAAAACCCGATTTTACTATGAGACTATTTTAATAAATACTGGTGGTGTCGAATTTCAGCACTTCTCAGGGTACAACACTAGCGAGAATGCTTATAACTTCTCCAAAATGATTATTAAGCAGATTATATCTATTGAAGATTGGGGTATTTCCACAATGAAAGAAAGGCAGATCAACCTAAATAAGGTCTCTATGAGTTTCACCTATTGGGACAACATTAATGCTTTTGAAAAAGTCATTTACTATAATAATGGGTGACATTAGCATACTTGGGTTATTAAAATTTGTGCAAAGATACTTGCAGAATCCATCCCTAATTGGTTCTTGAACTGGTGGTCATACCACGGTCCAACAACAAATATTTTGCCTGATCCATTTCTGCAATTATATAAACAATGGGTTAAGGTTTTACCAGATCTTAACGATTTATACCACGCAGATCATATTTGCTATATTGAAAAAATCAAAAAAAATTATTTTTTCATTGAATTCTCTATTCCATGGATTCATAAATCGACCCCAGAAGTGGGATACATCGAGGAGCAAATTCCTTGTTTGTATAGAACCTTTCATCATAATTTTTGGGACAAATTGATGAAAAAGGATCCCACGACCAAGTCTTTATACGGACAAGAATTGCTGGATCTAATTGCAAGAAAGATCCAAGAATATTGTATTCTCCTCACAAGGGAATCATTGCCAACAGCTTAGTCAGGCATATTGCAAGAAAAAATTCCATTCAAGATGGAAATAAAGAAGAAATGATTAATAATTATCTAGACGAGGTTAGGAGGAATTTACTCTTCAATATTAATCAATTCGAGAAATCAGACACTTCTATGAGATGTGAGACGAGCGATGATATCGCAGAAGATACTTAAGAAACGCAACCTGATGAATCAGCTAAACCCATTTCAGAAGATACGCTGAAAAAGGCGGAAGATTTCCTTAGAGAACTAAAGATAAAAGACAAGCTGTGAAGATTATCGCCAACAGTAAAAGTCACTATCAACAGTAGATACACTGTTAATTAACAGTAAAAACATTGTTATTGTACATAAGGGACCCATTGATAAAGGACCCACCATTGTTGTACAATATTTTTTTTTCTATAAATAGGTTTAGTTTTAATTGGAGAAGGAGGTTGAAAAACCCTCTCTCTCTAGCATTCTCTCTTGTAAAGCTCTCTTTTGTAAAGTTTGAAGTTCGCCGGAATATTTACCGAAATAAAGTGTATAGTTCTCTTATAGGCCTTGGAGCTGGCCACCCTTTTCAAGGTACTATTTTATTTTTGTTTTTATCTTTTGGTATTATTTCTCAGATCTGAGCCGTGACCATGTCTGGCTAAAACTTCATATCTATGTCGAATAACTAACTTCACCTTTATATCTACCATGAAAGATCTAGACTTTATCGAAATATAAATAAATTTATATATGATTTCTTGACTTGGTTATGAGATGGTGGTATAGTTAGATTTAATACAACACGTTATTGTCTTTGTCTTTGTGACTCTGTCTAGCCAGCCGTGGTCTTTAGACCATTATTGAGTTGAAAAAAGGCGTCTATATGCGGTTAGAACTGCTAGACACATGGGTTCAATAACAATACGTATTTGAATCTTGACAGGCCCTTTGCTCGGGTAAACGGAATAAAATCCTTCCATACAGTCTTAAAACTATATAAAAATTTATATATATTTTGATTCGAATTTAGAACCGGATGTTAGCAAGCTAGGTTAAAGATGACCGCGCGGACTACCGCCCGTCTTCTGAGATCCTGCAAGTTGGTATCAACACTAGGATGATCAGCACAAAATCAACAACAATTTGTTCATAAATTAATTTAATTTTTTCCTGTACTTTAGTAGATTTCAAAGTATCAAATATATTAATGCTAAACAATTCAAGTTGCCAACTAGTAGGATCTCAGAAGACGGGCGGTAGTCCGCGCGGTCATCATTAATCTAGCTTGCTAACATCTGGTTCTAAATCCGAATCGAAATATATACAATTTTTTATATAGTTTTATGATTGTATGGAAGGATCTTATTCCTTTTACCCGAGCAAAGGGCCTATCAAGATTCAAATTAGTATTGTTATTGAACCCATGTGTCTAGCAGTTCTAACCACGTATAGGCGCCCTTTGTCAATTCAATAACGTGCTAAGAACCACGGCTGGCTAGACGAAGTCATAAAGACAAAGCCAATAACGTGTTGTATTAAATCTGACTGTACCACCATCTCAGAACCAAGTCAAGAAACCATATATAAATTTATTTATATTTAGATTAAGTCTAGATCTTTCATGGTAGATATAAAGGTGAAGTTAATTATCCGACATAGATATGAAGTTTTAGCCGGACATGGTCACGACTCAGATCTGAGAAATAATACCAAAAGATAAGAACATAAATAAAATAGTACCTTGAAAAGGGTGGCTGACTCCAAGGCCTATAAGAGAACTATACACTTTATTAACTCCGGTAAGTATTCCGGCGAACTTTAAACTTTACAAAAGAGAGCTTTACAAGAGAGAGTGCTAGAGAGAGAGGGGTTTTCAACCTATTTCTCCAATTAAAACTAAACGTATTTATAGAAAGAAAATATTGTACAATAATGGTGGGTCCCTTATGTACAGTTACAATGTTTTTACTGTTAATCAACAATGTATCTACTGTTGATAGCGACTTTTACTGTTGGCGATAAGCTTCACAACTTGTCTTTTTTCTCTAGTTCTCTGAGGAAATCTTCCGTCATTTTCAGCGTATCTTCTGAAATGGGTTTAGCTGATTCATCAGGCTGAGTTTCTTGAGTATCTTTTGCGATATCATCGCTCATCTCACTTCTCATAGAAGTGTCTGATTTCTCGTATTGATTAATATTGAGGAGTAGATTCCTCCTGACCTCGTCTAGATAATTATTAATCATTTCTTCTTTATTTCCATCTTGAATGGAAATTTTTCTTGCAATATGTTTGGCTGTGCTGTCGGCAATGATTCCCTTCTGAGGAGAAATACAATATTCTTGGATCTTTCTTGCAATTAGATCCTGCAATTCTTGTTTGTATAAAGACTTGGTCGTGGGATTCTTTTTTATCAATTTGTCCCAAAATTATTATGAAAGGTTCTATACAAACAAGGAATTTTCTCCTCGGTGAATCCCACTTCTGGGTTCGTTTATGAATCCATGGAATAAAGAATTCAATGAAAAAATAAATTTGTTCGATTTTTTCAATATAGTAAATATGATATGCGTGGTATAAATCGTTCAAATTTGGTGAAACCTTAACCCATTCTTTATATATTCGCAAAAATGGATCAGACAAAATCTTTGTTGTTGGACCGTGGTATGACCATCAGCTCAAGAACCAATAAGGGATGGATTCTGCTAATATCTTTGCGCAAATTTTAATAAATCAAGTATGCATATATCGCTCATT